AGATGTCACCTCTTAAACTATGCAGTCACCAGACTGCCCTTCATAATTGCTCATACACAAAGGAAATGGATGCAGAAAGGCACACAGTTGCTCTGTAAGAATACTAGCATACTAATCCTAGGGTTACATTGTTATACCAGATAGGTCTAGGCAATACAACTGAACAGATGTTACTGCATCCATTGGCCCTTCCAGTTATGCAGGCTTGAGTGTATTCTGGAAGTATCACTTGTGTTAAGTGTTAATGCTATCTCTTAGGAGCATTTGCAGGGTAGCCTGTGAAATAGCAAGATAAAATTACATCAACCGCCATCCAGCATCTTAGATCATCACCAAACTCTTGCCAACCTAACTTCCATACCAGGGAACCAATCAATCAGGTTCAATGCTGAAAGACGCCAATATGCTTTTCAGTGCTTGCAACAATTTAATTCAGCAGGAAAGGCTAGAAGTCTCCAATGTGTCTACATGGCAGCTGTTTATTGATGTTCTTTGGCTCCTGTTCATACATAGAGTTGGGGCGACACATAGACTGTTTGTTGAAAGGCTAATTGTTCTATTAATTGTAGCTAGATTTGGCAATTTTAATTAATTACAGAACTTTGCTAAAGTGTTAGGGAACAGAAATGATCCCCAGCCTCCAGTAACCTTTTTTTTATAATTAAAGTAAATATAAACCATGTGATTAAAAAGTAAGCACCCCTGGCAGTGTTATTATTTGTTCCAAACCCCTATTGTCATCACTTTACCAGTTATCTTGGTGTACATGCAAATACGGGAAAATATATAATTAAAACCATGTGGGGAAAAAAAGGTATACATATACTGAAAACTATCATTATATGTTCTGACTGTATACAGTTGTTAACACAAAACAGCTTTTGATTTCTTTACTCTCTATAAAAGACAGGGCCGAATTGATAGAAACCACCAATTGTCAAGAGGGATCTATCCAATTCAAGTACTTACAAGGTTAAATATTCCAAGGGTTAACAATATTAGTGCTAACAGTGCTAAAGGTCAAGCTGCAAAATCTCTCACATTAACCTCCCTGGCGGTAATCCCGAGTCTGGCTCGGGGTGAATTTTCAATGCTAGGAGCGGTAACCCCGAGCCAGACTCGGGGCTGCAGAGAAAAGTGACACTCACCTTGTCCCTGCGATCCCGTGGCGTCCTCTGCTGTACGCGGCCCGAAAATGAAACTAAAAGCCGGCATCTGACTTTTAGTTTCGTTTTCGGGCATCACAGCAGGCGGGAAATTCAAAAGTGAAAAGTTGTAATGTACATAGAATACACACAATACAATGTAATCTGCTATGATTACACTTATGTATCAAACTATTTCACTTCAATGTTTTCCCTAGAGCTTTGTCCAGTGCCCTGCCTGACACTTTTTCACAATTATAAGAAATTATAATATAATAAATAATGATAAAAAATTATAA